AATATTTTGAGAATGGTGATGGCCACAAATGTACAAATGTGCTTGACACAATGGATGGATGGATGGATTGTGATAAGAGTTGTACGAGCCCCCAACAAAATGATTAAAAAAAAAAAGGATGGCGAGACATTGGCTCATGTACCTTGGACATGTCAGGAGAGACCAGTCCTTGGAGAAGGACACCATGCTTGGTAGAGGGACAGCAAAAAGGAGGAAGACTCAACGAGATGAACTGCCACAGAGGCTGCAACGATGGGCTCGATTATAACAATTTTGAGGAAAGGCGCAAGACCGGGCAGTTTCTTTCCGTTGTACATGTGGTCGCTACGAGTCCGAACCTACTGACAGGACCTAACAACCAGCGTCACCATAGGGTTCAAGCTAGCACCGTCTTTTTTTTTTTCTCCCCACCCTTCCCGTCTTGATCCTAGAGACGGAAGCAGGGAAAAGAAAGCTATGGCAACCTACCATGTGACTTCCGCTCTAGTGTCGCGAAGAAGCCGTAAATCAGAACCCGTTTGGCCCGCTCCCACCCCTCCCTCGCTCCCGGAGAGTGATGGACCAATGATAAACGCCTTTTCGGAAAACAGCCCAATGGTTGAGGAGCTGGGCGGAGCCCCAAGGAGTTGGCCTCTCATTGGCTTGCGTCCTGGAGCGCACCACTTCCGCCCACGTGAGAAGTGGCGCCGAGTGGACCAAACTTGAACCCCAAGTGCGCGAGCGGCTCGTGGTGGCATGGGGCCGGCGCCTGCCGGAGCGGCTGGGGAGCTGGAGGTGAGCGAGTACTCTGGAGAGAGTGGAGGCTGAATGTGACACCCCTGCCCTGACGGAGGGGCCTGTAGATAGATGCCTTCTTCTGACCACTCGCCCGCGTGGGATACGGGGCCGGGACCCCTCGGGAGGTATTCTGTTTGTTTCCCCGACGTTTCCAGGTGGGGCACTAATGCAATCAGTTTTTTAGGGGAGGTGGACCCCGGCAGGATTTGGAGGGAAGCACTGACGCCTCTTGTGCGCCTCTCCGTTCACCTCTGCATCGGTGCTCCAACGATTTCTCTAGGTCTTTTTTCTTGACGTTGGGCCGGATTTTCTTCTCGTGCCCAACTCTGCACTCCCTTCTGTATCGAGGCACTATGTGGCACTCCTGGGCGTTATTGTGGAGGGAGTGGGCCCAGGGCTATAGGGAAAGGGATGGAATCTCACAGATCTAGGTTTGAATTCTTTCCCCACAGTACAGTGATTACTGGTAGGGTTATGAGGGTTGAGCAACATGAAAGTTTACACTCATGGGTCAGCAAGTTCTAGAGCAGAGATTCCCAAACTCACTTGGCCTACTTGTTTTTGTTTTTCAAAAAAAAAAAAATTATTCAGTTTCCCTTTGGCAATTAAACACTTTTATACTACCACAAAAGCCCTTTTATACTATAGTCCATAATCAAGGATCAAATAGGTATTAGTGTAGGTTTCTGCTTTAACAACACCCCCCTACCCACCTCTGGATCCTTGCAGTGCCCTCCAGGGGGTGTCCTAACCCACTTTGGATCCGTGCATTATTTAGTACTGATAGAGTCAGAGCTTGCTAGGTTAGGGAACATGAAACCTAGCAGGATTTGTGTAGAAGTCAGAATGAAGAAGGCATTTGAGGCGACCCAGGCCTAACCCAGCTGAAGAGGAAGTCCCAGCATGCGGGACACCTGGAAATACAAGGGGGCTTGGGGCAAGGTCCAGCCAGCTCTTACTTCAAAGTGTCGTGAACTTCCAAGTACTGGTTATCTGGAGTTTTACAGAATCTGACTCCCATTTAAAAGTAGAGCCAGGAGCAGGTGAAGCCTTCATCTAAACCCTGTCATGGTACTTAGTGCAGCCGGTGTTAGACACTCCTGGCTGCACGTTGGTTTTCCACTCTCACTGGTACAGGTGATGGAGCCAATGCTGGAAGGCGCAGTCAAGAAAAAGAAGAAAGTGTCTTTGAAGAGACGGGTGGAGGCAAGGTCTCCGGCAGAGGGCCTCTTGCAGCCGGTGAAGCTCAGCCGGGCGGAACTGTACAAGGAACCCACCAGTGAGGAGCTGAACCGCCTTCGGGAGACCGAGAACCTGTTCCATTCCAGCCTGCTGCGCTTACAGGTACTGTTGGGAGGCTGGGGGTTGGGATGAGCATTGGGCCAGGGTCCCTGAGACCACTGAATGGAGGTCTTCTCCCCTTACAGGTTGAGGAGTTACTAAAGGAAGTGAGCCTGTCAGAGAAGAAGAAGGAGCGCATTGATGCCTTCCTACGGGAGGTCAACCAGCGGATCCTCAGGGTGCCCTCAACCTCTGAGACTGAGGTAAGGCGAGTGGATCCAGGGACTGGGATGCCCAGAGGAGGTCCTTCTCAGTGGGAGCATCTCAGACAGGGACATGCTAGTCTCTGGAGAGACTGGAATGGTAAATAACTCATTCTCACTGCCAGAAGGCTCCGCTTGCTGTTTGTTCATGTACATCCTCAGTCATTCAAGAAGAGTACAGGTGCCTGGCAATATTCTTGTCCTTGGATCATCAGTGAATGAAACTAGTTGGGAGGTGGAGTGAGAAATAGATGATAAGCACAAAATGACTGTCTCTTAAGGTTTTGGAGACCTTAAATCTTTATGGGAGCAGACATCTTTCTCCCACTGGTTTGGACCAGGAACCTTGCTGTTGGCTGCTCAACACTTAACCTACCATGCCACCAGGGCTCCCTGTGATATTGTTCTCAAAACTCTCCCTGCCTTTGAATTGATACCGACGCAAAGTGGTAAATACTGCCTTGGAAAACTCGAAAGTAAGGCAAGGGAAGAAGACTAGGAGTATCAGAGAGTACAGGTGTTGTACAAGTTTGAATAGGGAGCTCAGGATAGCTTTTGAAGTGGCACTTGTGGGAAGGTTCAAGGGAGATGAGGCAGGGAGAGGAGGAACATTTCAGGAAGGGGAAACAGCTACTACCCAAAGGCTCAAAGTCAAGAGCTTGGCCTGTTCTGAATGAGGGGGAATAGTGTGTTATGCTTTGGGGTGGGAACCACAAGGCCAGCAGTTCGAAACCACCAGCTGCTCTGTGGGAGAAAGGCAAGGCTTTCTACTCCTGTAAGGAGTTATAGTCTGATAAGACCTTTGTGGGTGGGAATCGACTCCATGGCCGTGAGTTTGGTTTTGGGAGAAGGAGATACAGAGACAGGCACGTGCCACTCCCAGCCTTACAGACCAAACTCTGAGCAAGGGAGATGTGGTGGATATTTCCTGGAGAGGGGTGGTGTGATCTTGTTGTTGTTAAGAGAAGGTGCTTTGTTGGGAGTAGAAAGGGAAGGGACAAAGGAGAAGTCAGGGCAACTTGTGCATGATCGGCTGAAAAGGATGGAGTTGCTCAGACAGGTGGCAGGGGAGCAATGACCAGTCTCTGGATCACGTTGAAGATGGAAATGAGCACTTTTAAGAGAATGCGTCCAGGTGACCAAAATGTTTTTGTCCGGAGCAACTATGACTGAGTTGCTATTAAAGTGAAATGCAGAAAACATGTTTGGGAAGCTAACTGCATTTGCCCCTATCACTGTCTGTCCCCACAGCTGACAGACCAGGCATGGCTCCCAGCCGGGGTTCGAGTACCTCTCCACCAAGTGCCTTATACTGTGAAGGGATGTTTTCGCTTCCTGCCCCCTGCCCAAGTCACCGTCGTGGGAAGCTACCTTCTGGGTACCTGCATCCGGCCAGATATCAATGTGGATGTAGCACTGACCATGCCCAGGGTGAGGCCCATGGTTTGGGCTGGAGAGTCCTACGGTGTTGTCGTCTGCAGCCCCCTGGGGCCCTCCCTCCTTCCCGCCTGCCTTCCTCCAGAGCGCAGCTTCCATGTGCCCTGGGGTGGGTTGCTGCCCTTCTAGGCCTTTATGTCTTTCTCCTCTGAGAATTGGGCTTGATGTTGCTGGGCCTGGCTCAGCCCTGCAGCCTCAGTTTCCCCTGCTGGGGTTCTCACATTGGCTTCATCGGGGCCCTCAAGTTCTCTTAAAGCTCATCATCCGTCTGTCCACCCTCTGCTCTTCCAGGAGATCCTACAGGACAAAGATGGGCTGAACCAGCGTTACTTCCGCAAACGCGCCCTCTACCTGGCCCACTTGGCTCAACACCTGGCCCAAGACCCCTTCTTTGGCAGCGTCTGCTTCTCCTACAGCAATGGCTGCCACCTGAAACCGCTGCTGCTGCTGAGGCCACACGGTAGGAAGTCCACTGCGGGCTGAGGGCACAACACGGGTGACAAGTGGGGGGTGGAGGTGGGGTGCATAAGGCCCTCAAGTCTAGAAGAATAGGTGCAAGAGCCTCGAGTTTGAAAGGAGTGCTGTGGGGACCGGCTTGCTCAATGCTCTCTGTCCCCATCCAGGAAAGGATGAGCGTCTAGTCACTGTACGCTTGCACCCCTGCCCTCCGCCTGACTTCTTCCGCCCTTGCCGCCTGCTGCCAACCAAAAACAATGTGCGCTCTGCCTGGTACCGAGGTCAGAGTACTGACGGTGAGTCAGCCCTGGGGTCAGGGTGGAGCCAGGGGAAGGGATGTCACGGGGACAGCTCTCCTCATGTCTAGCCCCTTGCTCCCACAGGGAGCCCCGGAGAGCCCCCTACACCCCACTACAACACATGGGTCCTGCAGGACACAGCCCTAGAGGCCCACGTGCAGCTGCTGTCCACTGTGCTGGGCTCGGGCCCAGGCCTGAAGGATGGCGTGGCTCTTCTGAAGGTCTGGCTGCGGCAGCGGGAGCTGGACCAGGTGCGTTGGGAGTGGCCCGGCCTCACAGTCTCGGTGAGTGGTGGACTGACTGTTGAGCTCAGGCCTCTCCCATCTCTTCTTTCAGGGTCTGGGTGGGTTCAGCGGGTTCCTGATCTCCATGCTGGTGGCCTTCCTCGTGTCCACTCGCAAGATTCACACCACCATGAGTGGCTACCAGGTCCTGAGAAGCACCTTGCAGTTTCTGGGTGAGGAATCCGTCTGGCCCTTGCCATCAAGACTGATGAGGGCACCAGCTGTAGGCACTGGGGCTGAGGGAGGGTGTCTTTAGGGCTGTGTCCCCAAGGAAGACCCTTGAATATTCCTCCCCAACACCTCTCTTTGGTTCGTTCCAGCTACCACGGATCTGACAGTCAATGGCATCAGTTTATGTCTCAACTCAGATCCCTCCTTGGTGAGTTGGGGCGGGGCAGGGCTGGGGCTGGGCCAGGGGCTGGAGATAAGACCCCCATCCCTGACTGGTTTCTCTCATGGGCTCCTCTCTGGCTCCCAGCCCGCCCTGGCTGACTTCCACCAGGCCTTTCCTGTTGTCTTCTTGGACTTCTCCGGCTGCCTCAATGTCTGTGCTGATGTCACTGCTTCCACTTACCACCAGGTACCAGTGGGTTCCTGTCCCTGTCTTCCCCCAAGGTCCCAGCCCATCTTTGCTGCTAGTACCAGAATCTCAGAACCTCCTCTCCAAGGAGCTCAGGACCAACACATTCCCTGGCCCAGAACCCCTTTGGGGGTGCCCATTTCACATCTGACCTCCTTGCTAACCCTGTGGCCCAGGTGCAACACGAGGCACAGCTGTCCATGGCGCTGCTGGACAGCCAAGCTGAGGACAGCTTCCAGCTGCTGTTGATGACCCCCAAACCCATGGTCCGGGCTTTTGACCACATCCTGCAGTGAGTTGAAGGGTGGCAGGGGGTGTTGGCAGGTCCTGTCTTCCTGCGGCTATGATGACTGGACCTTGGGCCTTCCTAGAGAGTGGAGGGGGACTTACACTGATTCCGCCTCTCTGTCTCTCTCTACCCCAGTCTCCGCCCAGTAAGCCGACTGCAGGCAGCATGTCACCGGCTAAAGCTGGGGCCTGAGCTGCAAGACTATGGTGGGGACTATGTCTCAGCTGCACTGGGCCCCCTGACCACCCTCTTGGAGCAGGGCCTGGGGTCTCGGCTGCACCTGCTGGCTCACTCTCGGCCCTCAGTCCCCAAGGTGAGGTGATCTGGGTTGGGGGGAGAGTCTGAATCCAGGGACACAACCGACACTGCCCCTCTAGTGAGAAAGAACGGTGGGAGGTTGTCACTCAGTCCCTCTACCCCCCTGCAGTGGGAAATCAGCCAGGACCCTCCGAAGCACAAAGACACGGGGGTCCTGACCCTGGGGCTGCTCCTCCGGCCTGAGGGGCTGGCCAGTGTCCTTGAGATGGGTCCAGAGGCTGACCAGCCTGAGGTGAGCCAGTCTGGGGCTGGGATGGGATTCAGCTGTCTTGGGAAGCCCAGAAGTACAGGGGAGGGGGAGGGGGAAGGGGTGGGGCAGTCGGGACAGCCTTTCTTGCTTGGTCTCCACCCTGAGGTCATCCTTGCTTCTCCTCAGGCTGCTGCCTTCCGCAAGTTGTGGGGACCCCGCTCGGAGCTCCGGCGGTTCCAAGATGGGGCCATTCGGGAAGCTGTGGTCTGGGAGGCAGCCTCAGTGGCTCAGAAACGCCTGATTCCCCGGCAGGTGGTCACCCACCTCCTAGCACAGTGAGTGTTGTCAGCTGAGTGCCAGGGGCTGGTGTGGGTGGCGGGCAGTTTGAGTGGGAGCTGACCTGGGCCCTTGGTGGGGAGGGACTCATCTCCTGGGGCCCAGCCCTCATGCCTACTTCTCTCCAGTCATGCAGATATCCCAGAGACCTGTGTCCACTATGTGGGGGGCTTCCTGGATGCCTTGATCCAAGGTCCTAAGGAGGTAAGGATCCTTCCTGGGTGTAGGTTGGCTTAGTGGCTGTCCAGTGTTTGTAGATTACCACCGGAGGGGTGGGTGGGTGGGTGGCACAGAGAAAGCCATCAGTGCCTCTGCAGGGCCCTTGGCTGGCCCCGGCCCTGATGCACTTCCCAGACGTCCCAGCAGAGGGGGCCCTGGCTCTACAGCTGAGCCCCTGCAGAATGGCGGTGTCACTTGGGTTCTGTAAGGCCTGGCTTCCTGACTGCCTTCTCCTCCCCAGACCTCAGGCACAGGGGAGGAGGCCCTGGCCGCTGTTGTGCGCTGCTACGATGACCTGAGCCGCCTGCTGTGGGGACTGGAGGGCCTCCCGCTGACTGTGTCTGCCGTTCAGGGGGTTCACCCAGTACTGCGCTACACGGAGGTGAGGTGTAAGGGGGTAGGGCACCCTCTCTGCTCTGCGATCCCCAGCTCCTCTCCAATCACCCACCTTTCCCATCTCGGGGCCCTCTCCTTCAGTCCCATACTCCTTCCTCAGCCCCGCTTCACCCACAGGTGTTCCCACCCACGCCTGCCTGGCCGGCCTACTCCTACTACGAGCGCCTGCGGAAGCAGGCCTCACTGGTGCCCCGGCCCGACAAGCCCTGCCCAGCCTATGTGGAGCCCATGACTGGTGAGGGAGCTTGTGGGGGCTGTGGGGAGGGGCAACACCCTCTGCACCTTCAGTCAAAGACCAACCCCTGGCTGCTCCTCTCCTGCCCCAGTGGTATGTCACCTGGAGGGCAGTGGGCAGTGGCCGCAGGAAGCCGAGGCTGTAAGGAGGGTCCGAGCTGCCTTCCAGCTACGCCTGGCTGAGATCCTGACGCAGCAGCACGGGCTGCAGTGCCGGGCCACGGCCACCCACACAGACGTCCTCAAGGTGGGTGTGGCACAGGGCAGGGGTGCCCCTGTGACAATAGGCGGGGGCATATGGATCCCCCAGGCCCCAGACCGACGTTCACTTTCCGTCCTTAACCCCCTCCCGACAGGATGGCTTCGTGTTCCGAGTGTGCGTGGCCTATCAGCGGGAGCCCCAGCTCCTGAGGGAGATGCGTAGCCCCGAGGGCATGATCACACTGCGGGACACGCCTGCTTCCCTCCGCCTGGAGAGGGACACGAAGCAGCTGCCCCTGCTCACCAGTGCCCTGCACGGGTATGGCTGCCTGCCTGTAGGCTGGCCTTGTGCTAAAGCCTCTCAGCCCCATTCGGCTTTCCTGGCTGCATGTGCCTCCCGGATCAGACGGGAATCTGGGAGGGTGTGAGGTGTGGGGTGTTGCACAGAGGCGGGTGGGCGCTGGGTCAGAGACACCTTCCCTCCGCTGCTCAGTGCCTGGCCTCTCCTTTCCCCTCTAGAGTCCAACAGCAGCACCCAGCCTTCTCGGGGGCGGCCCGGCTGGCCAAGCGGTGGGTGCGCGCCCAGCTCCTAGGCGAGGGCTTCTCGGATGAGAGCCTGGACCTGGTGGCTGCTGCCCTGTTCTTGCACCCAGAGCCCTTCTCCCCACCCAGGTGAGTGCTGCTCCCTGCCCTGCAGGGCAGTGCCAGGGGCTGCCAGTCTTCAGTCTGCACATGGGGGCGAGTGGTGGTGGTAGTAGTTGGACGCAAATGACTGAGGGGTTTTGAGCTCCCCCTCCTGTTGGCTGGCCCACACTTAGGTTGTAGGTGATAAGAGGGGTGGGGCCTGAGGGGGGCAGGCTTCAGGCTGGCTCTGCTCACTCCCTGCCTCAGCTCCCCCCAGGTTGGCTTCCTTCGGTTCCTCCACCTGGTATCAACTTTTGATTGGAAGAACAGTCCCCTTGTTGTCAATCTCAACAACGAGCTCAACGGTGAGTGGCAGGTCTGTGGTCAGACTTTGGGGGGAACTGCACTCTGGACTGTAGAGCAGCTGGTTTGTCCCTGCCTGGTCCTGGTGGCGGGTGGGGGCGTGGGGGCTGTTCCCGGGAGGAAGGGCCAGGTCAAGCCTTGTGCTGCATGCCAGTCTGAGAGATAGATTGTGAGGTATCATCATGCTCTTGCTTGGGGGTGTGGGGGGCAAGAAGGGCAGGGTGGGGAGCCGAGTACCAGGAGAGAAGTCTGGTGGTAAGGATCAAGGAAGGGCCCCGAGCCCCAAGCTCCTGGAGGGTGGGGATGGAGACTTCCAGTGGTAATATGAGGCGTCCCCGGTGCCAGCATAAAGCAGGGTATCGGCTTCCTAATTCCCCAGGTGTGTAGGGCACAGGGGAAAGGGGGCTAGGGGCAGGCCTGAGCTTGTGCACTCCCGGAAACCCGAATGAAGGGTGTTCCAGGCAGTGGAAAATTCTGCTGTTGGGCCGAGGCAGAGATTAGCTCCCTCCTGTTGGAGGCAAGTGCGGTGTACTTTTGTCACCTGGCCACATGGGGTCAGGGCTTTAAGAAAACCCCTGGTGCCACTTGCTGGGCCTCCAGCAGGAAGAGCTAGGCTGAGGAGGGTGTCTGGGGAGGGGCCAGCTGACCTGGCTTCACCTTGTCCCCAGTGGAGGATCAGGCCGAGATGCGCAGTGGCTTCCTGGCAGCCCGGACACGGCTTCCTGTCATGGTCATCTTTACCCCTCAGGACCGCAAGAGCTCTATGTGGACACAGGATGGACCTTCAGTCCAGGTTCAACCCCTTCCCTGTCCCTAAGCAATGTAGGCTCAGGCTGCACTGAGAAACTCATGGTCAGATCTGCATGAATGCTTCTGTCCCCCCGACCCCCAGATCCTGCAGCAGCTCGTGGTCCTGGCAGCTGAGGCTCTGCCCATCCTGGAGAAGCAGCTGCTGGATCCCTGGGGGCCTGGGGACATCAGGGTAAGCCCCGGATCAAGAGTGACTCCAGGACTCTGGAGGGTCTGCCATTGAACCTGCAGTCCAGAGCTCAGGGGGCCTTCCCAGTTATCTTGTGCCCTGTTTGGGGGGACCTGGCTCTGGCCAGGCCTCGTGCTTCTAGTGTGTGTTCCTTCTGCCAGATCCAAGCTCACCACAACTGCACCTGTGTGGCTTCCCATGCAAGGGATGTAGGGGCACCCACGGAAGGGTTCCCAGTCCTGCTGCTGACCTCTCTCTTCCCTCGCCTCCTCAGACGGTGTTCCGGCCACCCCTGGACATGTACGATGTGCTAATCCGCCTGTCTCCCCGTCACATTCCCCGGCATCGCCAGGCTGTAGACTTGCCGGCGGCCTCCTTCTGCCGGGGCCTGTTCACTGAGCCCCGGCCCTCGCTCTTGATGCCAGTGCTGGGCTATGACCCTCCCCAGCTCTATCTGGCACAGCTCAGGGTACGTCCTATCTTGAGGCCTGGAGAGGAGACCTCTGGGAGGCACTGGGCTGTGAAGGTGACATTGCAGCACCTATGTGCTGTCTCGTCCCTCTTCTGCCCCTGTAGGCGGCCTTTGGGGATCTGGCGCTCTTCTTCTATGACCAGCATGGCGGAGAGGTGATCGGTGTCCTCTGGAAGCCCTCCAGCTTCCAGCCCCAGCCCTTCAAGGTGAGCTGGCCTCGGGTGCCGGGGGTTCCTGTGTTGTGCACGTGGGGCTGTGTGAGCTGCGCTCTCTGTGAGTCGTGTGGGCTTGCATGTGCCGTGGGGCCATCTCACCCACCAGCATTCTCTGACTCCTCCAGGCCTCCGGCATGAAGGGGCGCATGGCAGTGTCTCGTGGCGGGGAGCTGGCGATGGTGCCCCACGTGGAGGCCATCCTGGAGGACTTCGCTGTGCTGGGTGAGGGCCTGGTGCAGGCCGTGGAGGCACGGAGTGAGAGGTGGGCTGTGTAAGCCCCAGTAACAGCACCTGAGGGCTCTGGAGCCAGATGTTGGTGGGCTGGCTGCTTCATGCTCATCACCTATGGACTCTCCACTTTGCCCTGATTCCTGGGGACCCCAGGACCCATCAGTCTGAACCCCTAGAAGAGGAGGAGGAACCGTCTTGGAAGGAACAGAGCCTGGGTCCATTGGTCACCTACTGCTTTGGACCTACACCATTTTCTTCTCTTAGCCTGCTCCCAGGACCAAATCTGCCCTTCCCACTGCTAGACGGGCCTAGCCCACAAGTGCCTGCAGGGCCTGGGCAGAAGGGGTGGCGCTTCCTGAGGGGCACCGGCTGCCCCAGTGAGTGATGGAAAGGGGCTGTGTGGGTCTGAATGGGCCACATTGAAGGGACACAATGCCCTTCTGTTGGGTGCTGCTGCCCAGGGTGGAGACTGCGGAAAGGACTGAACGGCAAAGGAATGGCTGGGTGAAGGGAGCTGGTGGTCTCGGGTCCCCCAGACCAGAGAGGTACACACAGAATAGTGCTGCCAGGACCTCAGCATATAGGTCTCTGCAGCTCTGGGTGCCGGCCTTTGGCCAGCTGCCCAATCCCCACCCACTGTGCTCAGGACTTCCTGTTCTCCAGCTGCAACCACGTCGGGGGTGGGGGGGCTGCTCCCAATCGGCCCGGTCCTCTGCACTACTCTCCCAGCGGCCTCTGACACATAGGACCCCCTCAACCTCAGCCTGCGGCGATTGTCCCATCCCTGCTGCTTGGGCAGGGCCATCACTGCCGATCCGGTTCATTGTGCATGCCAGATAGCAGGAGCGCTGCCGGTATCCAGAGCTCCGATTTGGAATTAAATTGCTTCATTTTCTCAAGTTCCTGGCTTTGTCTCTATTTGGCCCTGTGTTAACTTTGTCTTCTAGAAATAACCGCTTTGGGAGCAGGAAGCATATGTGCATGTAGATTCCTTGGTGTTTGGGGCACCCCAAACTTTGCACTATGCTCAAGGAGGTGTTGGGCAGGTGGAAGAGGCACCTATCCCAGGCAGGTGGGGGTCGGAGTGGGGGGTAGGAAAGACCACTGGAAGATGCCAAGGACAAGGCCTCCGTCCGTTTTCATGTTCTTCCTAGGACTATTGGTGGGTATGGGGAAAGATAAAGCCTGAGATGTCATCGAAAGTTCCCCTTTGAACATCTTCCACAGATGTAAATGGGCCTCTTTAAGTAGGTGCTCCAGGTTAACAGGGTATCTGTCTCATGGAGAGCCCAGCCTGGCAGCTGGTGGGCCCATCTGGAAGGACTGTGGTTTCTGGCTATTGAGCCCCCTTCAGAGGAGGCCCTAGCTGTGCAAAGTGTTCTCCATTGATAGACCTTGTGAGTCCAGGCCCACCCTGCAAAGAAACTTCGGGGAGCCCCCGGACTGTGAATACTGGGCTCTTCCAGCTCCTTTCCTTGGGTCTTCATCCGCAGTCCCTCCATCTGTGTGGGCTCTGGGGAGGCGTGTGCCTGCAGGCTGGCTTACCCGTTGTGTGTCACTCAGCACAGATGCAGGCCTGTAGCATCAGGCCCTTGGACATCCTGGCTCTAAACTAGTCCTGTGGCCAGTGGATGGGATCTGCCCCCAGGCAGGACTGTGCCAGGCCCTGCTTCCACCTGTGGACCTGGGCCAACTGCTGCTTGTGGGACTCGGTCTCCCCACCTATGAAATGGGCTGGTCTGACTCCCGGCACCTAAGAAGCCTGAGTTGCTGTACCATCCCCTCTTGCTCTCCCTGGATGGGGCTGGGGTCCCTGTGAGAGGGGTAGTCCTTTTTCTAGGGCCCTTTAAATGACTTTGGCATCAGTCTGGAAGCCAGGCTTCCACCTTAACTCCTCACATTGCAGCTCCAACCTGCACTCTCAAATTTTCTCTGAGAAGTAGGTGAGGGTGTTGGTACAGTCTGATGGCTGTGTCCAGGGCACCTAGGCCCCAGCGGAAGATGACTCCTGGGTGGCCACTCGGGCCCCAACCCACCAGGCTTCAGTCGAGTGGGGAGGAAGTGTGCATGCTCATGGTATCCGGGCCTCGGCGTGTACCTTGGTGGTTGGACATAAATGGGTGGGCGTCTAGATTTGATGTGCGGTGTCATTGTCCACTCTGCTTTGGGGTGTGCACCCATTTGTATGGCCTAGGCTGGGTGTGGATTTCACTGCCAGCTCTGGGCTGTTATAAAAGGAGAAGTGTGTACTGGCTAGGAGACAAAGAAACCTCTCAGGAGGCAGAAACCCTAGGTTCCTTCCTGTGAGTGTAAAGCTTTCTCCTTGGACTACTCTGGGGGTGTCGTGGGTTACATGTTGTGCTGTGAACCGCAAGGTCAGCAGTTCGAAACCACTAGGGAAAACAATGATCCCACAAAGAGTTACAGCCTCAGAAATGCACAGGGCCAGTTGGACCTTATCCTATAGGATCCCTGTGAGTTGTCATTGGACAGTGAGTTTTTTGCGTCTTCTCAGACCTTGATTTCCCTGGTTGCGACTGACTTCGGAACTGATGTACTTATGGCCAGGGGCTCTCAAAGGACTCTATTTTGACGGTGGCATCTGACAACATTCCCTAAACCAGTATCCTCTTAGTTGAAAACCCCATTTTCCTTGGCTTGCCTCTAGAGAACAGGAGCAGGACCCCAAAGCCTCAGGTCCTTGGAGCAGGACAAACAAAAATCAGGTCTGCTCAGTCCCTGAGCTATCTAGTCAGATTCGGGCTAGGTGTTGCCCCCCTCTCCTCTCCGCCCCCAACATCCGGTGCTTGCTTTGTGAGTCACAGATTGACTGTGGTGAGCCTATAAGGGGAAGGGATGCCCAGGGCACCTGAGTCACCCCCACCCTTGCCAGGAAAGGCCAGCCTGCTCATCCTCCTGTTGCAGAGACAGGAGGAGATGTGACATCCCTACTCCCAGGGAACTATGGGGGTCCAAGAAGAGAGCCGTTCTCGGAAAGATAACTTCCCCAATCCTTTTCATCAAACAGCCGTAACTAATTCCTTTTTCTGGTTTGTTTCGGTTTTGAATTCTTTTGTTAGTTGAGATTTAATACATATATCATTCCATATTTCAATCGTGTCAATTAGAATTGTACAATTGCTACCACAATCTTTTTCTACATGGACTTCTTGAGTTCATCTCCCTTTCACCCACCAACCACCACTGTTCCCACCTTCCCCTGAAACCCTTATTCTACTTGCTGCCCCTCTAGGTTCATCAGTCCTGGGTTTCATCTACCGAAAAACAGAAAAGCATATAACAGCTTCAAGAGGGTGACCTCCATTAGACGTAACACCTCTGAGATACACTCTACTATGAACGAACAAAAACCAAACCAAACAATACAAACCAAAAAAACAAACAAAACAATACAAACCAAAAATACAAACAAAACAATACAAACCAAAAATACAGAAAATGTTGTAAACCAGATCAGATCCAGCCTGCATCACAGGGGGAATCTACCGAGTGTTTTAACTGTTCAGGTCAGATTTATGCTGCTGATCGTCTATACTCCTCTTTCCCAAGCACTCTGCTTAGTGATCACTTTCCTCCCAGCCCTCAGTTTTAGATAGGGGATAACAAATTTCTGAGAGCTGGGTGGGGAGAATTTACCTGGTTTCCATGGGCCCAGAGAGGTGTAGGAACTTATCTAAGGTCACACAGGGAGCTGAGGGGTGGAGCTACTGAGAAACTAGTCAACCTGGTTCCTAGACAAGCCATGTGCTGCTGAGCCTGTGCTTTCCTGGGACCCAGGGCTGTGGTGAGTAGGAAGATGGGACTGGCAAAGCCCGAGCTCCAGATCCCTCCAACAGAAAAGGGGGCTGGGGAGCCCCTGTCCTACTTGATTGCCTGCCAGCTCTATGCACCCACCCTTTCCCCCTCTGCTCAGGACCCAGAGGAGCAGGGGCACGGGTAGAAGTGATGGTGTGAGTGCTCTGACCACCTCGGTTCAAACCTAAATTTTCTGTGCCCCAACCTGGGAGCTCCCCAAAGCAGGACTTTTCCCCCAGACTGGCAGTCTCCACAGGCCAGGGTGTGGGTCTCCCCAAGACTGAAGAGTCCAAGTTTGGGTCCTGACTGAGGGCATTGAGACCCACATCCTGTTCCCCTTACTGAGCAGTAGTGTGGATGAAATGTTGGGTATAAAGACCCGGCCTTTCCCCATCTTTCTCCATAACAGCACTCTTCCTATCTCCCAACTCGTGGGGTCCCCCTGGCCTAAGGCCTAGAGACCCCCAGGAAGTTATTTCTAAAGTCTGACCACAGACTCTCCTGCTGCAACCTTTCCTCTCTCCCTCTCACATCCTGCCCCTCTGACTCCTCTCCCCTAGGGCTGGTCTCTGGTGTTGGCCCTGTAATTAGCAGCCTGGGCTGGGAAGAGGAGCAAGTGAGTATTCTGGGGCTCACACACCCAGCAGCCTTTCTGAAGCACCAAATGCAGCGCCTCCTTCTGCCAATCACACCCCCACCCCCCACCCACACCAAATCCAGGCATAAGCCTCTTAGAACTCAGTTGTCCTGCTGGCCCACGGGGCCCCCTTGAGCTTCTCGCTCACCCAATCCTGCCCACCTTTACCCTTTTGCTAACCTGTACACGGAGGAGCCTCCTGGGCCTGATTCAAACTCTCCTCCCGCCAGCCACTTCCCTTGGCCTCTTTCCCTTCTCTGGCGGCCTCCTTACAGGCCTCCCAGTCTTCCCTTCCCAGCCCAGCCTCCTCTCAGCAGCCAGAGGGCTCCCTTTAAGTGGTAAATGGCATCCCTCTGCCTGAGATCCTGAGGGCTCCCATTAGCCATCGCTCTTGCTGGTGAAACATTGGTCAATTTGTCCAGGGATGTAAAATGGGTAAGATGCTTGGGCTGAAGCAGGAGGTCTGGGCTAGGGCTCTGCCCACTGCACTTTCCCCTCCACACCTGCACCTCCACCAGTCCCTGCTTAAGTCCCAGGGATTCAGAGGCGTGAGTGCTGCTTAAATGCTCTGGCTCCTATAACTCCAGTGTAGAGCCACTGCTCATGCTACTACCCAGCCCTCTCGTGTCTCAAGCAGGCAGGCAGCCTGCGCAGCACTTGGCCCAGTTGTCTCTCACCCGGAAAGCCTTCACAAATCCCCAGCCAAATGTTTCCTCCTTCAGGAAGCCCTCTGGCTGCCCCAGCCAAACAGTGCTCCGGGTTCCCCTTCTCCCTGCAAGGGCCAAGCTAATGCTGGACCCATTTCAGTCCCCCCACCAGGTGACCTGTGTGTTTCCTTCTCTCCTTTGGTCACTACCCCAACCCAGTTCCACAAGTTCTTCCAGGGAGGAGAAAGCTGGGAAGCCACAAAGCTCAGGTGCCCCAGGGAACTGGTCCCCTGTGAACCAGAGCCCCTCAGATACCTGCGTGTCTCCTTTCTGTCACTAACTCCCCTCCTCCCAAAGCTGCCATGGGACAGGACCAGATAGCTGGTCGGTTCTTCTTTGGGACTCCAAGAAGGGTCCCTGTCTCATCTCCCTGGGTGTCATCAATATAAACCAAGATCCAAAGCCAGGGACATAGAGAACTCCATAGACACACACATCATACGCATGAGCCCTCACAGACCCACACAGGTGCACAGATAGACCATGTGGGTACATGCACATGTACACACATGTACACACACGCACAGACACTCTCCTGGCACTGCTCAGGAAAGCAAACCCACTACTATCGAGTCGATTCTGACTCATAACCACCTTTCCAGGGCTGCTGAGACTGTACCTGCGTCATGGGAGCAGATAACTCCATCTTTCTCCCGAGGAGCAGCTGGTGGCTTCGAGCTGCCAAACTCCTCAAGGTTAGCAGTCCCACGTTTCCCTGAGAGTTCCGCCATTGCTCTGG